ATGAAGGATTTTGTATTGTATTAGTTGTAAATTGGAGTTTTTAGTCATCTTAAAAGTTCTCAGACAAATCTGCGACCAAAAGTTTTGGTCAAAATTAACTGACAAGTCTGTCTCCCAAGAGATATAGATTCATCTATTTTACTGAGTTTCTGATAAACCTTAGATAGTAATTTGGAAGGGTTAAGATTAAAGAATTCTAATACACTTGTTGACATTTCAATCCTAGTGTTATTAAGGTTAAATTTTTTTTTGGTTATAGATTTAATTTGTTGATATTCTAAAAATGTATTCTTATCAATCCCATATTGTGTTATTAATCTGTTAAATGGGATGTAGTCCACTTCTTCATATATATGTTCCAAATATTCAATTCCTTTACACCTCCAACCTGGGAAGTTTATCATCTTATTCTGTTGTAGGATGTCAGGGTTGTTCCAGATGGGTGTACGTTTACAAGGGATTAGTGAAGACTCTGTCATTTTAAGAAACTCCCACCAAGCTGTCAGAGAGGAGCTGATATTGATGCTTTTAAAGCATTCCTGCCGATTTCCCGCTCTTAACGTAATTTATACGGACCGGGTAGGGCCCACACAACAGGTGGGCGTGGACTAAATTTTTCAGTGCTAATGCTTCGCATAACGGGATAAACCCACCAAGCGACAGCCTTAAAGGGCGAAGCTTATACGAAATAGAACTGGATTATATACGCCTACTACGAACAACACAGAAGACTCTGAGAGACTGTTGTGTTTTTGTGTTCACGGAAACATGGCTTAACAATGTTCCTGACCATGCTATTCAGTTCGAGCAGCTAACATGCTACAGAGCGGACAGAGCTCTCATTGAGGTAGGTAAGACCCGCGGCGGGGGACTTTGTGTTTATATCAACAACGCCTGGTGTTGTGATGCTACTGTGGTCTACAAACACTGCTCAATTGTAGTGGAATTTATGGTTATTAAAGGCCGACCATTTTATTTATTGAGGGAATTTACAGCTGTTATAATCGTCGCTATTTATATACCTCCAA